GTTGCTGCCCTCATAGCGAGCTCAACCGAGGTCTAGAGCTCCCTTGGTGGTATGGACTCCTCCAAGTCAATGATCGGAGGAGCCCCAGGGAGCTCGGACTCGGAAGTTGGAGCTGGTGGAAGCTTGGGCTCGAGAGTGGGGGCTGGCGGTGACTCGATACGGGCTCTCTTAGCAGCTCGCTTCTTCCTCCCCTTCATATGCTTGAAGAGCCGATCTCCCTTGAGCTTGTCTGCCTCCATGGGACCTACAGCAGAGCTCGGCATTAGTACTCGAGTAAAAGAAAGGAGTGGGCCAAACAACTAAGGTACTAGCTACCTTCCCGGACTCAAGTCAGCCTGGAAGAGCATACCCTCGGTGATATAATCTTTGAAATCATAACTGATCTCAGCCCACGACTGGAATGCCTCCCTGGTCTTCTTGTCGAGTATGACGCCAGGGTCTTGGATAGCCGCCCTCCAGTGAGTAGGAAAGGGCCACCCTGCAGGGTTCCGGACTACGAAGTAGTCCTGCTTCCAGGCCGGGATCTTGCTAGGAAGCTTGTGCATTAACTTAAAGCCCGGGCGAGGGGACAAGTAGTAAGCCCTCCGGTGCTCGGGGAGAACGCATGAAACGCTCTTCTTAATGGTGAGGATAGAACAAAATATGTCCAAGTTAAGGGGGAGGACATACTCGTAGCAAAGGGTGATGGTCCCGACAACGTTACGGACCGAGTTCGGGTGAAGCTGGTCTATCGTAACATTGAAGTGGTTCAAGATCTCCACTATGAGTGGATGGAAGGGAAGACATAGCCCGACTAAGAGCTGCTCACGGAAGATTACGACCTCGTCAGGGCCGTGCTCCCATGGGAAGTTACCCGCAGGGATACTGTAGGTGTACTCCCTAGGCAGGTTGTACTACTGAATGAGTTGACGGAGCCTCTCCAAGGTCATAGTGGAAGGCCCGAACCTGTCCGGCATCCGACCCCGATAAGATGTGGATGCCAAGTTACCCGAGGCCATCCGCGACTTGGGAGACTGGACTCCCTGAGCCGAGGTACCCACCTCGGGCTCATCTAACTGGCTACCAAAGGAAGACATAACGAAACCGAAGAGGAGCTAGGGTGACTCACCGAAAAGAGATGAACCGGACTGGGGAGAACTGACCCGAGCTGGAGGCTTTAGACACGAGCTCAAAACTACAACTGAAGATTTGTGGCGAAGGAAAATGGCTAGGACACCCACTATTTATAGCCACTATACACGGGCATCAACGGTTGAGATCGAAACGATCTGACGGTCCTTATGAAAACTGGTTGCACGACCTTCAAGGCGAAATCAGTTTAGCACGTTTTTTGGCTTCCGCGGAGTCTATAGCTCGCGTGACGTCTGCGCGTAGACCGTACGCAACCTGAGCTGTGCCTGGCAGAACCGAGCAGAAAACCGATCCAACCTATGAGCTGGCAGGCAAGAAAGTTTAGACTCTGAGCCAAATCCACCTGGCAGACTGCGGACTCCCCGTGCTAGGTCAACACCCCTAGCACGGGGAGTGGGGGGCAATTGATGTAGGGTGATTTGGCCTGACCTCGTAGCACAGGGACATGTGGACATGACCTGGCATAAGTGACAATTCAGCGTGGCCACTACTCGACGCAGCAAGCTCGCCGAGGCCCAGCCAGACGACTTGGCGGGTGTGACAGCTCGTCGAGAGGCAAGGCCCAGCTCACCCTGAACCTGAGGGCGGAGCACCCCGAGCTCCCCCATGTCAATGGACCCGAGCTCCTCCTGAGACCCGAGCTCTCCCTTCCTTAGAAGGAAGCACCCCAACTTTTGGCTAAGTGTCCCGAAGGAGAAACACCTCGGGGCAACACCATTGAGACTCTTGTCCGAACTTGCTTAAGGCTCGCCTCTAGTACGGGCACCTCAGTGTACCTCGGCACCTCGGTGCAAGGCAAACCTGCCCTAGGTGGTTCGGTGTACAATAGCTTGGCAGACTACTGGGAGATCTGCCTGACATCCGTACCTACCAGATCCGGTGGCAGGGCTCGGATCCCTTGCCAGGCGGCGTTCTTCTTGCCGTCTCTGAAAAGCATGGCACGCCTGTCGAGTCCGTACCTTGCAGTAGCAGCCTGCACCTGCCACACCTGCCCTGGCAGTAACAGCTAGGGTTGTGGCAGTTATGCCTGATGTGATCGAGCTCCGGTATAAAAGGATCCCGACCCTCACGAAGCAAAGGTATTGAAGCTAGCACTTTCAGCACTCTTAATTCTGTGTCTTCTCTGAGTTTTCCTCAGAGTTCTAACTTAGCCATCGGAGTGTTCCTTCCGAGAGAGCTCCCCGGGAACCCTTCACCTTCTTCTTCCTCTCAGGTGCCGTCCATCACAGCTAGGAGCCAACTCTCAGCCAGATAGGAGTGCCCAGATTGTGCTGCATCACAAACCATTCCGAAAAACAATTGGTCCAGCGGTCCAAGACGTAATTTTGAAAAAACCTCATTAGTATCAAGATTCACTAGGAACATAACCAACACGATTCTGCACATAACCATGTGCCTGACCTAGGCCAGAGAACTAAAATATGGAGAAGAAGAAGCCTGCTCCACATGGCCTTGCAAGAAGTAGTAAACTATGGAACCGACAATCGGGATATTTAACTCGTTTTGAAGTTATACTATGAAAGACAACCAGTAACTAAGAATAAAAACAAACTCTTCCCCTCAACACTCAACAGATAGGTTGTGTCACTTTCGGCAATTCGTTCCTATCAAAAAAAAAAGAGAGAGATCATAATCTCCTACAATATTGCTCGCCATCGAAAGCCCATCTCTCCTCTTTACTCTTCTTCTTCGAGGAAGTGAAGATACTTCCCTACCAGAGTGGGCATACCCTCCAAGCAAACGATACCAGGTGATAAACTTTTCTTTTCTGCAACCTCTTCTTCTTCTATCTCATCGTCGTTGTTGTAAATGAATCAAGTGTGCTTCCCTATAAACCCCGACATTTCCTTCTAGTTCATGTTCATCTTTCTCAACAATGACCAAGTGACCAGAGTCTTTCGAGATTCAACAACCTCTTTGTTCTTTCCATCCATCCCCATGACAGACTGAACACGAAAATAGATTTGATTTTAGAATTCAATTGGATAGGAGGGAAAAAGAACAATCGGTCAATCAACGCCACCTCTTCTGTCATTCCTTCAACAAGAAAGGGGAATAAGGTAAAAATAAAGAAAAAGGGTAAAATCTAAATATTATCATAAAGGTTAGTGTTGGTATTATGAAATTACTTAAATTGCACCTAATCTCACACGATGGCTTTGACTGACAGTGAGTTAAGCATCAGGTGTCAGATTGTTGCAAATTGAAAGTTTGGGCATTGGATTGTTGCATTTTAAAATTTGGGGACCAAATTATCACTTGAGCCAAACTACAGGGTACTGATTGGGAATTTTTCCTAAAATATAAAACAATTGTATACTCTTATATATTTCTAATATTTAACTTTCATCTAACAAAGCTTGTACATCTCACAGGTTCCCGCTAGTTACACATATACCCTATCCGTTGCCATTCCTATTTCGCAGTCGATAGTTGCACATATACCCTACCTGTTGCGATTCTGAGATCATATATGCTCCTCACACACGACACCTCACACCAACCTCACAAGCACATCCCACCATGCATTAGGAACATCTCCCATGCTTAAACACTATTATTCATGGGAGATATTCCTAATGCATGGTGGGATGTGCTTGTGAGGTCGGTGTGAGGCGCCCTATATGAGGAGTAGATAGGGGTATTCACATTAAATGTCAAACCGGCCAAATCGGCCCGAACCAACCTGAGTTGGTTGATTTTTCAAAACCATTGATCGGTTTCGGTTTGTGTGAGAAAATAAACCGACAACTCAATTCGGTTTCAGTTTTTAACTTTTCATACATAAAAACCGAAACTGAATCGAATCGATCTTGTATGTTTAAGTAATTACTAATTAATCCTACCCTGTATGTTAGATGTTGATATATTTTATTTGTGTTTTGTTTGAACTTTGAAAAAATGGTTATTTATGACAAAAACTAAAATTGCAAAGTCAATACAAATATAATACAATGGTACAATATTTAATTCAATTTTGTATAAATTTGTACATATATATAGACAAAAACTTCAGTTTTGCATAAAAAACTAATCGATTTAAATATATATTTGATTTTGCATAAAAACTAAAAAAAAATAAACTTAAATATAAATAGATATTTAGATATAGATATTTCAATTTAAAATATATATAAAAACCAACTAAACCGATAAACCGACTTTTCATATTTGGGTTAATTTTGCTTCAGGGTTGGTCGATTTCAATTTAGTCAATAAATAAACTAAGTTGGATCGATTGAAGAAAATGGCTCAAATTGATCCAACCCGACCCATAAACACCTGAGCAGCCATTCCTACTTCATAGTGAACTATAAAAATTGGGTTAACTTTGGTTGTTGGGGCCTAAACAACATAAGTTGTTGAAACAAATTTATGGGCTGGGCACGTTCTAGGCAATTCACCTATTCACGCCCATGCTTTGGTATTTAGTCAAAATAAATTGATATATAATTATTAGTTTACCCATTTTCATGGTAATGTGGCATTCTCAACAGCCTATGTTGGCCCCCAACAGCTAAAGTTTTTCCATAAAAGCTCGATTTGAGAAAAATATGGAAGAACTATGGATACACCCAATGCAGAATTCTGAATTCCAGCCCTCCCCCCTACTATTAGCCCTCTCTCCCCTATAAACCACATCCTGCCCGTGAATTTGGCATCAATTCACGGTGAGGATGCAATCCCCCTGTACTATGGGGTTATAAAATTCTGATCTGTGCTGATTAGTCTGGTGGTCCAGTTGCAGATTTTAGCTATATGACGTGTTATGCAGTGGTTGGATGGTACATTCGGTGTCTCACTAAGACGGTGAAGCTAGCAACAGTGCAAAATATATAAAAAAAAAGAGGGGGGAATTTGGAAAATCGGGTAAAATCATAATCTAGTCCTGAGAGTTGAGACCGGCCCTTGTTTTCCAGTATCGCCAATTCTCTCGAGGCGACTGAGAGAGGCTCCATTTCTAGGCTCGCCTCTCCCGACGGTGGTATCTAGCGAGCCAGGTTCTTCTCAGGTATTGCCATTAGCTTACCGATTTATTTATTTCTTCCTTATTTTCTGCTTCTGATAATAAACAGCAGTCATGGTTTTCGTCTCATCTCTTGACAACAAAACCCTATTTCTCAACCTTAACCCTAGTTCCACAACGCTTGAAACCCTTAAACTTAAAATAGAAGAGAAATCCGGAATCCCTGCCAACCTCCAACGTCTGTTCCTGTCGTCGAGGCGGTTGATTGGCGATGAATCTTTAAATGTTTCTTATCTTGGTGTTCGGTCGGATTCAACCCTTACCCTTCATATCCCTCTGTTGGGAGGGATGCAAGCTCCTGTCCTCCCAAAACCAAAACTGGAGTTCCTCAACACCAAACCCCCTCCGAATTATGTGGCTGGTCTCGGTCGAGGTGCCACGGGTTTCACAACCCGGTCTGATATTGGTCCTGCGAGGGCTGCGCCTGATCTCCCCGATAGGTCCGCCACCACAATTGGCGGTGCCGCTGGCGTTGGCAGGGGAAGGGGGAAAGGACCTGGTGGTGAAGACGAGGAGGAGGAAGAAGCAGACGACAAGGGTTATGACGAGAACCAAAAGTTCGATGAGTTCGAAGGGAACGATGTTGGCCTTTTTGCTTCTGCGGAGTATGACGAGGATGATAAGGAAGCCGATGCCGTTTGGGAAAGCATTGATAAAAGGATGGACTCTAGGAGGAAGGACCGAAGGGAAGCCAGGTTGAAGCAGGAGATTGAGAAATACCGAGCGTCGAATCCCAAGATCACAGAACAGTTTGCAGATTTGAAGAGGAAGCTATACACTTTGTCGGTGCAGGAGTGGGACAGTATTCCAGAGATTGGAGATTATTCATTGAGGAATAAGAAGAAGCGGTTTGAGAGCTTTGTGCCGGTGCCGGATACACTGCTTGAGAAGGCCAGACAGGAACAAGAGCATGTTACCGCTCTGGATCCCAAAAGCAGGGCTGCTGGTGGAACTGAGACTCCATGGGCTCAGACTCCTGTAACAGATTTAACTGCTGTTGGAGAAGGGAGAGGGACTGTTTTGTCATTGAAATTGGATAGGCTCTCCGATTCTGTCTCAGGGCTAACAGTGGTTGATCCCAAGGGTTATCTTACTGACCTCAAAAGCATGAAGATTACAAGTGATGCAGAAATTTCGGACATCAAGAAGGCTAGGTTGTTGCTCAAATCCGTTACACAGACAAATCCAAAACATCCACCAGGATGGATTGCAGCTGCACGGCTTGAGGAAGTTGCAGGGAAGATCCAAGCAGCAAGACAATTGATCCAGAGAGGATGTGAAGAGTGCCCCAAGAATGAGGATGTATGGTTGGAGGCATGCAGGCTTGCTAGCCCAGATGATGCAAAGGCTGTAATTGCTAGGGGGGTGAAGGCAATTCCCAATTCGGTGAAGCTGTGGATGCAAGCCTCAAAATTGGAGCATGATGATGTGAACAAGAGCAGAGTTTTGAGGAAAGGGCTGGAGCACATCCCTGATTCTGTTAGGCTCTGGAAGGCAGTTGTGGAACTGGCAAATGAAGAGGATGCAAGGCTTTTGCTTCAGAGGGCTGTGGAGTGCTGCCCCTTGCATGTTGAGCTGTGGCTTGCACTTGCAAGGCTGGAAACTTATGAGAATGCAAAGAAGGTTCTTAACAAGGCAAGGGAGAAACTTCCAAAGGAGCCAGCTATTTGGATTACAGCTGCAAAGCTTGAAGAGGCTAATGGAAATACTGCTATGGTTGGGAAGATAATAGAAAGGGGTATCAGGTCTCTGCAAAGAGAGGGAGTGGTAATTGATAGAGAGGTTTGGATGAAGGAGGCTGAGGCTTCTGAACGTGCTGGATCTGTTGCAACTTGTCAGGCTATAATTCGTAATACAATTGGAATTGGTGTTGAGGAGGAAGATAGAAAGAGGACATGGGTTGCTGATGCAGAGGAGTGCAAAAAGAGGGGTTCCATTGAGACTGCACGAGCCATCTATGCTCATGCGCTTACTGTGTTCCTGACTAAGAAGAGTATATGGCTCAAGGCAGCACAACTAGAGAAGAGTCATGGGACCAGGGAGTCTCTTGATGCTCTACTTCGGAAGGCAGTCACGTACAGGCCACAAGCTGAGGTTCTTTGGTTGATGGGTGCCAAAGAGAAGTGGCTTGCTGGAGATGTTCCTGCTGCTCGAGCAATTCTCCAGGAAGCCTATGCAGCAATTCCCAATTCTGAGGAGATTTGGCTTGCAGCTTTCAAGCTGGAATTTGAGAACCATGAACCAGAAAGAGCAAGGATGCTTCTTGCTAAAGCCCGAGAAAGAGGAGGCACAGAGAGAGTATGGATGAAATCAGCAATTGTTGAAAGAGAACTCGGGAATACTGAAGAGGAGAAGAGATTGCTGAAGGAAGGGCTGAAACTCTTCCCCTCATTTTTCAAACTGTGGCTCATGCTTGGGCAGCTAGAGGACCGGCTGGGTCGCCTGGAGCAAGCTAAGGAAGCTTATGAGTCAGGTTTGAAGCACTGCCCTGGCTGCATTCCACTTTGGCTCTCACTTGCTAACTTGGAGGAGAAGATGAGTGGACTAAGTAAAGCTAGAGCAATCCTCACCATGGCTAGGAAAAGAAATCCTCAGAGTCCTGAGCTTTGGCTGGCTGCAGTTCGAGCTGAATCAAGGCATGGGAACAAGAAAGAAGCTGATATTTTGATGGCAAAGGCATTGCAGGAGTGCCCCACAAGTGGTATCCTCTGGGCAGCATCAATTGAAATGGTCCCACGCCCTCAAAGGAAAACCAAGAGCATGGATGCGCTGAAGCGATGTGATCATGATCCCTATGTCATTGCTGCTGTGGCAAAACTATTTTGGCATGACAGGAAGGTGGACAAAGCCAGAAACTGGCTCAATAGGGCAGTTACTCTTGCCCCAGATATTGGGGACTTCTGGGCCTTATACTACAAGTTTGAACTTCAGCATGGTACTGAAGAGAATCAGAAGGATGTGTTGAAGAGATGTATTGCTGCAGAACCAAAGCATGGTGAGAGATGGCAAGCAATTTCCAAGGCTGTGGAGAATTCCCACCAGCCAATAGAAGCCATTTTAAAGAAAGCTGTGGTTGCTCTGGGAAAGGAAGAGAATGCTGCTGAGAACAAACAATAGAATTTCCTTTACATCTAGTGTAGAGATTTTTGAAGCTTCTCATCTCTTAAATGTTAGTCGGAAATATACTGGGAAGTGGGAACTTACTAAAAGACGTGGCATAGAATTTAGATTTATGTATTTTGCCTTTCAGTTCGATTTCTGAACACCAGAAGTTGTATCATTATCATTTTTATCGTGAGTCGGAATGTTGAGAGAAGGTTATTGACATATTTTTCTAGAATTTGAATACCGCTCAATCTATCGATCTTCATTTCAACATGTCTATAATTGTTGATGTATCATGTTAATTTCTTTCTGGTTTTTATCAATCCATTAGTCTTGGAAGGACAACATTGTTTTTCCTTTTAACGGAATCATCATGACTCATCCTAATTTTCCTCGTTCCTATCTGTTTTTTGGGTATGGGTGAAGTACAGGCGATAGAATTGACTTGGGCAAATTGCCTCTGTTTTGTTGTAGATGGGTGTCCTGCTTAGGCTGTTATTGAACAGCCTGACAACTGGATCATCACCTGTGGTGAAGGAACCTATTCTACATACATATGTATGAATGGATAAACTTTGATATCAGTAGACCATCGGTAGAAAGTAGTTTCGTCTATAAAATAAATTTGATAAGATTAAGTAAATCAGGTGGTACCTATAACTGACAATCAATAACTTATGTCGTATTGTCATATATGATGAGTTAGTTTTTAATAAAGAACTTAGCTTAAACGGTTAAACCTACTAACGAACGGAAAACCACTTAGGAATCTCCTTTTGTTTCTTAAAGATGGACTTTGTTATTATCAACTCTTGGCAAGGGCTAAAGCTCAATTTGGGCAAGAGAGGAAATTGCCTCTGGAAAGGGATTATCCATGCTGTCACGTGGAACATCTGAGAGGAAAGAAATAGGAGATTATTCGATGAGAATTACTCCTAGCTAATACCAGCAGCTGGATGGTGAATAGTAAAGCTTTCGAGGGTATCAATCGGAGTGACTTGCAAACTGTCAACCTCTCCCTTTCACCCTCAATCTTTCTTTATAAGCAAGTATCAAGCCAAGATGAGAGAGGGAGTACATTCTGAATTTTGATGACAGTTTCAGGAAATCTTTAGAGGGCAGCTTAGATGCAGGAATTAGAGGTCTGGTTCGTAGATCAAATGACAACTTGACTTGAGCCTATAGTGGTCCTTCCAGGGCTGCTGATGCGATGGAAGAAGAGACGGGCCCTCCTTGAAGGCCTCAGGATTGCCAAGTCGCAGCAACTTAGTTCCATTGCAGTGGAATGAGACTTGAGGAATGTCATAAACTGGGATTCTGGACAGACCCTTGACTTTTGGAAGCTCTCCCACCAGCTGTTAGAAATCAGGGAGCTTGGCTCTTGCTTGCATTGTAGTTTTAGATGGATTCCTAAGAGTTTAATCAAGTAGCTGATAGCCTTGCTAAATCTGGGCTGAGAAGGGACTTCTTGTATAGTGCTTAGTGCACATGCTTTGCCAAATGTGTAGTGGGCTTTGTCTTTCTGTTTTTGTTTTGCTGACAAGGCCTTGTACATCCCTCCCTTGTTTAATGAAATCAGTTCTCTTTTCTCAAAAAGATGGATTTTGTTATTCAAGTCAATATAGGAGTAGGGATGTATTGCTCTTATGCAGTTTTATAAGACTTTTTGATTAATCTATTTTTAATTTATTTTTTTCAGAACTCAGAACCCAACTAGCCTGTTATTCGGATTCTTTTGACTTGTGGTCAATAGTAATGTTGCCTTATCTAAGGGTTTTTCTTTTTTCTTTTTTTTTTTTACATTTTTATTAATCTCCCAAATTTAAATGTTTAATCAAAGGACAAGTCTGTAGTCTGCCACTAGGCATTTGAGATTAGGGTCCGTTAGGTTTGCGGACAGGACCAGAATCAAAATCCCCAGAAATCAGGATCACCTATTCCTGCCGCTTGTTTGGTTCAGTCAGGAACCGGAACCGGGTTCCGATTGTTGCTATTTGGTTCAACCATAAGCTGGAATCAGAACCAGCCAAATTTCCGATTTTGCCCCTGTTAAAAGAACCTCAAAAACAGCCACTTATTATATATATTTTCAACATATACACACATTGGGAACCTGCTAAGAAGTGCATATATGGAGAAAATATGAAAAAAAATGAAAAGAAAAGCACATAAACAAACAAAAAACACAAAAAAAAAATCATTCTCCACCATAAATTTTTGTGAAATCATTGTTCAGCTCTGCAAACACAAAAATCATTGTACAGCTCAAAGAAAACAAATTTTTGTGAAATTGATGATGACTAGAATCTAATGTACTCTGGTTCAATAGTAATAGTAATAGCTGGTTTGCAAGGTTCTGAGGATTCAAAGCACTGCCAATTAATTTGTCTGTCAACTGGCTAATATGATCTGGTGCAATGATAAGTGCCACATCTTGTTCCTCAGGTTGTGTTTTGGGTTGTAACTGGTCTTCAAGTTTATTTAGAGGTTTCTCTTTTTCAGATACATGTGTTTGTGATGCTAAATTTCCATCTGCTGCATGGGTTTAATCCATGTTATGCTGATAAAGATTCTGAGTTTGCAGAAAAGAATTTTCTGAAGGAAGAATATTAGGTTTCTGTTGGACTCATGTCTGATTCAGTGTTTCTTTTTCTGGTACTGGAGCTGCCTTAACTAGACAAGGTGGTATTGCTGAAGAGAATGTTTCAGTGGGACTGACACTTTGAGATTTGAGTAGCATCTTGATCAGTGGTTCAGAACCTGCACTTGGAATTGGGGGCCATGGAAGATCATTTCCACCTTCTGCTACCCGCATAAAAGGTCTTCTGATCATATTTCCCCATTCAGTCTCTGTTCCTGATACAGCAACAAAAGTGAATCCATGATCCCCAAAACTGACCTAGGCACAAAAGAATAAATACATGACATGCTCTTTTTTTGGCAGTATAGTACCCTATTCTTATTTTCTTCAGAAAGATGCACTTTGTATAAATGGGGTGAACAGTGGGCGGTAGCTTTTATATATCCACAGTGTGCAGACCCATGGTACTCATGGGGCTGTTATAATTTTGTTCTGTTTCTGCAGTTAAATTCAAATCTATAAGATGGATAAAAAGATCTGCTAATTTTACATGAGTTTGCTGGTTCAGGGCTGGGTTTCAACCTGTGATAATTTTACATGAGTTTGTTTTTATTTGTCTGTGCCATTGTTTGCTTTTTATTGCATTTGTTGGCTTGTAATTTGTGCTCCAAGCCTTGGAGCAAGCTTTGTACTATCTTTCCATCTGCTTATTTTCTGAGTGTACTGGTTCTTTAATGAATTTATTGTTGATTACCCAAAAAAAAAACATTAATGGTGTTTATGAAGAGTAAGCAAGGGGTTCTGTGCTAGGAGACAACCTAACATGAGGAATTATCACTTTTGTACATAGTATTCTTTCTACATTCATAATTAATAAAAGCTGCTTGTAAATGTATTTCATTATTAATTCCATTACAAAAGTTTCAACCTTATTTACAGATTCATAGTGTTGAATGTGCTTATTAGTTATTACAAAAGAATATTGATTTTACTGGGGTGTATGGCCCAAATGATGATGCTGAAAGGCAGAACTTCTGGGAGGAGCTGGGCAGAATAAGGAGTAGGGGTAATATTCCCTGGTGTATAGGCGGAGATTTTAACATTATAAGATTCCCACAGGAGAAAAATAGAGGTGTGAGAAGGACTACGGGGATGCGGTCTTTTGGTGAGTTTGTTTACAGACATGGTCTGGTGGACTTGCCATTGTCTGGTGCTAAGTTCACTTGGACTAATAACCAAGGTGATCCTACTTTAGTTCAGCTTGACAGATTCTTGGTGTCAACAGAGTGGGAGGAAAGTTTTCCTAACTTGTTTCAGGAAGCTCTACCAAGACCTGTGTCTGATCATAGGCCTATTCTTCTTAGGGGGGAGGGCCTGAGGAGGAAGCCAGGTCCTTTTCGGTTTGAACACTTGTGGTTTCAGGAGGCTGGGTTTGAAGAGAAGTTGAAGGAGTGGTGGTTATCTTTTGAGGTAGAAGGCGCAGGATCTCATATTCTTGCAAAGAAGTTACAGATGTTGAAAGAGAAAATCCTAGACTGGAAGAAAAACAATTTCAAGGCAGTAGAACTAAAAAAAGGAGAGTTGTTAAGCACCATTGAAGAGCTGGATAGGAAAGAAGAGTTGGTGAACCTATCTGAAGAAAGAGAAGGCAGCTAGGACTGAGGCAAAATTGTGTTTTGACAAAGTAGCATATCAGGAAGAGATTAAATGGAGACAACGGGCTAAAATCTCTTGGCTGAAGGCGGGATACAGAAATACAAAGTATTCCCATGCAGTGGCTAATTGTCGAAGAAGGGAGAATACTTTGAAGAAGCTGCAGGTGGGAGACAGGATTATTGAGGAGGAATCTTCTATTAAAAGGGAGGTGGTGAAATTCTTCAAGAACCTGTATAAGGAGGTGTGGTCGGTACGTCCAGGTCTGAATGGGAACCTGTTTGAAGCCCTCTCCAACAATCAAAGAGAAGACTTAGCAAAACCTTTCTCAGAAGAGGAAGTATGGGGGGTTATTAAAAGTCTAGAGGGTGAGAAGACCCCTGGACACGATGGATTCACAATGCTGTTCTTCAAGAAATGTTCGAGTTTCATTAAGCCAGAGGTGATGAAGGCTATGTCGGATTTCCACGAAAGAGCATCCTTAGAGTGCAGCTTAAATGTTACGTTTATAACTTTGATTCCAAAGGTTCAGAATCCGATGCATATCTCTGATTACAGACCCATAAGTTTGGTAGGAGGTTTCTACAAAATTCTGGCGAAATCCCTTGCTAATAGAATGAGGAAGGTACTTCCTGAGATCATTTCAGAGGTGCAGGGGGCTTTCTTGCCCAGTCAACTATTACTAGAGGGTGTTCTTATTGCTAATGAGCTGGTAGACTCGAAGTTAAGGAGTGGCAGCACTGGGGTGGTATGCAAAATTGACTTAGAGAAGGCTTACGATCATGTAAACTGGAGGTTTCTTGACTTGGTGTTGCAGAAAATGAACTTTGCCCAGAAATGGAGGAATTGGGTCAGAGTGTGCATATCCACTACTAAGTTTTCTGTACTTGTGAATGGGTCATCTTCTGGTTTCTTTAGAAGTTCAAGGGGTCTTCGACAGGGAGACCCCCTCTCTCCCTTGCCGTTTATCTGTGTGGTGGAGGCTTTAGCTAGATTAGCTAAAAGAGCTGCGGCTGAAGGCTGTGTGGAAGGTTTTAGAGTGGCAGAGGAAGGAACCGTGGTCCCTTTACTACAGTATGCAGATGATAC